CAAACACTGTATGATCTCACTCATATGTGGAATATAAACCAACACATGGACAGAGAAAACTGTATTGCGGTTACCAGGGGCAATGGGGGTGGGGGCTGGGCACGAGGGGTGAAGGGAGTCATATATATGGTGATGGACAAAGAAAAATGTACAACCCCAAATTTCACAATGTTAAAAACTATTAAAACATCAATAAAAAAAAATCTTTTGCCTTTTCTCTCTCTGCCTGCTCTCTTCCCCTGCAGTCTCTATAACCCCATGGCCACAGGCTCTCTGCATTCCCATCTTATTCTCATGTCTCCTTTGTCTTGTGTCCTATTGTTCCTCCACTCTGCCACATACCCACACACTGTCACTCCCCCAAACACTCCAAGTTTCCCACCATGTCTCTTGACATAAGGAGGCAATGCTCAGAGCACATTCAAAGTGCTATGCATCATAATAAATATTAACCTTGTGATTGTTGCAGGTTTAGGAGGACTATAAAGTGTAGGAAGGCCCTTGTCTAAGGACACAACTATTCTTATAATATTATGTAACCGAGAGACACACATGCTTGGTGTCTGTGATTTTAAGAAAGAGTATAATGAAGAGTTTAGGTGAGCGTGTGTATTTATGAGTATTTATGTATGTGAGTGTGAGTTTTCATATGTTCAATCGGTGCATCAATTTTTGCAAGTATGCAATAGAAATTGTGTGAGCATATGACTGTATTTGTACAAGAATGTGAGTGTGTATATATATGCTTGAGTCTGTGAGTGAGTGTGCATGAATGTGTGTCTTTGCATTTGTGTGTGTGTGTGTGTGTGTGTGTGGGTGTATGTTCAGGATGGGTTGTCCACCATTATGGCTCTAATACCTGACTTGAGAATTGGGGGTGACAGCATAGTGAACTTGGATCGAAGAGTTGATTTATGTGTAGAAAAACCTAAAGAATTACCTTGAGCTCTTAATTTGTATTCACTTTTTTCTTGACTCCTCAGAAATATATTTCTTGATTAAAAAAGCAATCATAGCTCCTTACTAAAAATTTTGTAAAGAACTAAGTGCAGAGGACAGTGTTGACTATGTGATGGTCTTGAATAAAGTAAGTAGCATTGGCTTCTCTGTTAGTTACAAGAATGATAGAATCTATCATTTAAACCATCAGATCCCAGTGGTTTCTTTGCGAGGGACTGTTCTAGAGGCTTTTCTCTTTTTTCAGGTTGCCTTTTCATAGAGGTAACGTAAAGTCTAGCTTCCACCTGTCACAACACAAATGTCCTCTTTTACCCCTTTTGCTCCACCGGCACTCCAATTGCCTTCTGGTCACGGCCAATCTGTTTTCTGTATCTGTGTGTTTGCTGTTGTTGTTGTTTGCTTCCACCCAGGAGTGAAACCATACAGTATTTGTCTTTCTTCATCGGACATTTCACTAGCATAGTACCCTCAAGGTCCATGCATGTTGTCACAAATGGCAAGATGTCATCTTTTGTATGGCTGAGTAATATTCCATTGTGTGTGTGTATATTTCTCTCTGTATACTAAGTCTTCCTTATCCATTTGTCCTTTGATTGGCACTTAGGCTATTTCCAAGTCGTGGCTATTGTGAATAGTGCTGCAATGAACATAGGGGTGCATATATCTTTTTGAATTAGTGTTTTCCTGTTCCTTGGATAAATAACCTGAAGTGGAACAGCTGGATATTAGTCAGATTCTGCTTCCTATCACTAGTGAGGGTCAATAGTCACAAAAAGTACTTTCCCAGCAATTTACATATTAATTAATATTGAGTTGTGCCAACGAGGGCAAGGATATCTAAAGTAAATTACTGTCATCATGTTCTTTTTGTTCTTTGTATCTCTTTTTAAATTCTTCTCAGATATTTTGACTTATTCCATTTCTTTGCTCATAACTTAGTTGGTGGTGCAGCTCAATTGTATGATATAAGGAGAGAACTTACTTTGGGGTAGAACTGGGTGAAGTAGAACATCTACTGAGACACACATACTCACTGCCAGTCCCTCACATCTCAGACCAAAGTATTTCCTACTCTCCTGCATGGGATCCATTGTTTGCTCCACGGTTCATGGAAAAGTAAGAGTCTCTCGTACACACTCTAACAGTCTCTAAAGAAATGCTAGCTGGAGACTTGTAGTTGTTGTTGGTAATCAGCACCTGGGAAAAAAGTTTTCAAAAATATTCTCAGCTCCCAAGCTTGTTACTGCCAATGCTGCTACAGGTGAAATGATAATTGCAGTTCTGAGGGGAGGTGAGGTCACAGAATCACAAACATATCTCCAGGTCTAGCTACCCTCTCACACATGTACTGACTGCTTTGACCTTCACGCTGAGCCCACCACCCAGGCAGCAGGAAAGTCAGTGGGTTTTCTCTATGTTCATCTGAGAGATAGAACCTGTAAGGGAAGGTGTTGTATCAGGAGTCCAGGTAAGTGAACATATTGGACAAAAGGAGTCTTCTGTGTATGAACTTGGTCCAGTACCAAAGCCATGTAGGAAGGTTGAATAAATCCTGTGGCCTGAGCTGAGATAGTAAAGAGAGATGGGGTCCTAGACCTTCCACCAATCCCTGATGCTTCTTGATGTAATATAAAGTCATCCTCACTGATGGTGATTGTTGTGGTTTAATTAAGGAAATAATAAAATCTTATTTTTAATATACTTAAGGTCTGTATACTTAAGGGGTCAATCTGCTGTTTGGTGTAATTTACAGAAATCATAGACGTAATTGTTAGGTTTCTAGAGGTGCACTCATAATACCTCCATTCTTGTAATGAAGTGTAGGATGATGCTACAGGAATCATCTGATCCTGTGCAGAAACAAACCGTCTGATAGCTGTTGCTGGAATAGAAATGTTTTCTCTAACTCTAGGTGTATGAAGTGCTTAATAGAATTAATAATTGTGTCTCTATTGATTATGGAGAGACTTTTCCCCCTTCAAGTTAGGGAGGAGTATTTAAGAAAAAATATAACTTCATAAGTTTCAGGAAATCTTTTTAGGCTCAAATGTATTTTATAATATTTCTCCTGCTTTTAAGTATTATAATGCCAATCAAAAAATGTATTTCACTTATAGAAAACAAGTTCTTGCCTTAACAATGCATGTTGCATGTGTTTCTTGTATTTTAATATCTTTGACATGTCTTGCCTTACTGATAATAATTTTATTTACTCAAGTATTAGTAATTGGACATGTATGTCACCTAAAGTTAGTGATAATTGGTTTCTATCATACACTGTTCATCAGGCATCAGTGTTTCCTGTCTCATAGTTCCTATGATTCATACTATTGTACTTTTGTTCCTGGGATGAAAGCAAATGAGTCTTTCTGTTGCCAGCCTAATGTTGAGGCACTCCTGCATTCGTTAACCCCAACTTGTCCTGGGGCAGCTTCCTGCAGTTTTATACTGCAACCAGGGCATCTATATTTTATTAAGATCTCTAAAGTTTTATTCAAAGATTATATTTTCCTATAGAATAAGTTTTCATAAATAAGTGGAAATTCTTCATTACCAAATTTATGAAATAATATACCACCAATCTAAATTGAAATGACAGTGCTCAAAAACAAAACTGAATTTAGATCTGATTTATTTGAAGAATACTGCTAACTAGTATTTTATATATTATGGTTTAAATGCACTATCCATGTTACCAGCACAGTCAGGTTCAAATTCCTACTCTGTCCCTAACCTGTGAGTGAATTGAGAGGAAACTCTTATCCTCTCTGTGCCTGTGTTGTCCTCATCTTTATAAGGAATGTAAGTGTCGGCCTCATGAATTTCTGAGGGATAAAGAAGTTACCACATGTGTGGCCTTCATGGCAGTAATTCATACATTGCAAGTGATCTTTAATGGTTATACTTTCAAGTCTTGGAAAACTCTAAAGGACACAAAAACTTAAATAATTATTTCAAATTAGAAACTGTTAGTACGTTGAGAATATTGGATTTCAGTTAACGTGATACATGTGGCCCACTCCTCCTCTTCCCCTGCAGGATCCTCTAGCTCAGAAGACAAATATCAGTTATGGAGAACTGACAGGATGGCCACCAGGGACTTGGCAGTAGAAATGATCTTATTATTACAGACTATATTTGGATTTCTGGGGAATTTTTCTCTTCTTTACCATTATCTCCTCTGTTATTTCACTAGGTGTAGGCTAAGGTCCACAGATGTGATTGTCAAGAACCTGATTGTAGCCAACTTATTGGTCCTGTTCTCTAGCGGAATCCACTACACAATGTCTCATTTTGAGTGGCATCACTTCCTCAAAGATTTTGGATGCAGATTTTTCCCCTATGTTCGTGCAGTGGGCAGGGGTGTGTCCATTGGCACCACCTGCCTCTTGAGTGTTTTCCAGGCCATCATGATCAGCCCCAGGAACTCCAAATGGGCAGAGCTTAAAATGAAAGCTCTCAAATGCATTGTGCCTTCAATTTTCCTCTGCTGGATCCTGCAAATGCTGGTAAATGTCATTTATCCTACGTTTATGAGTTGGAACAACAAAAACATCACCAACAGAAAAACTTTCAGACACTGTTCTGCTGCTCGTCATGACAAAACCAGAGACTCTTTATATGCAGCATTGCTATCATTCCCTGATGTTTTCTGTTTGCTGCTGATGGTCTGGGCCAGTGTCTCCATGGTTTTAACCCTGCACAGGCACAAGCAGAGGGTCCAACACATTCATAGGACCAACATCTCCTCTAGATCCTCCCCTGAGTCAAGAGCTACCCAAACCATCCTTCTCCTGGTGAGCTCCTTTGTCTTTTTTTATATCATTTCATCCATCTTTCGAGTGTGTTTGTCTCTTTTTAAAAATCCTAATGGGTTTTTCTTGAACATCACTTTTGTAATCACTCTATGTTTCCCAACAGTCAGCCCCTTTCTGCTCAGGAGCCGTGACTCCAGTGTATCCAGACTCTGCTTGGTCTGCATAAGGAATACAAAACCCACTAATCTAATGAGGACTATGTGAATTGCATGTATTTGCGCAATGTTCATTTGGTAATTCACTCATTCTCCTCAGAGTCCTAAGTACAATAATGAACAGCTGATCAGAGAATGTAAGCAGAACATACAAAACATCTTCTTCAGAGTAACCAATAATTAAAATATTAATTGTAATGAAATAGTATATAATTATCATGTAAATACTTATGTGATTGAAGTTTTTCTAATTCTTGCAGTGGAGGAGTTCAGAATTCATTCTATAATAAACACCAGGTACTGAAACATTTGGATATTATGGAGAAGTCTTTGAGTGTGTAACTTAAATCTATCACAGAAAATTTCCAGACATGAACTAGGTGTAACATTTTTAGAAAAGGTAAGTGAAAATGGAATAGCATGTGGCAGGTCATCACTGAAACTGAAGGCAATAGTCCTGGAGAAAATTCAGTCAGTGACTAAAGTTTTGGGGAGCCAGTTATGAGTTTGTACCTTACACACTTTGAGAGGCAGTTGTCATTTATTTGAAATATGTTGTTATGAGGAAGGTTGATCATGTTTAAACATTTTCAGATAGAAATGGCCTGATTGATCTGGAGTGGTGCAAAGGAGAGCATAAAATTACATTTTACCTGATTTTTAAACAGCATCAGGTGAGTGTGACGATTTTGAAAGATATGAATTGCATAGAATTGGGATCTGTAGAAGGCAGATTTCTCTCTCTTTTGTAAAGTTGATTTGGGGATGTTGGCAAGGAAGACGTTTGGATGTATACATTCCTGTCTCGAAAGTGATGAAACTAGTTTGTGTTGAAGACTTCCATTAAATATGGAGCATGTAGGGAGAGCCATTTGAAAGGAAAGCCATCAATCCATTCTGTTTATGTAGAGTTTGTGGCTCCTTGATTTTCAAAGAGCAAAGTGGATATTTCCCTAACTTAAGAAGAGATTTTTTACGTAGTTTTCTCTCTATTTACATTCTGAAGCTGATGCAAAGTAATGAGTACTCAACAATTTGAAAAACAAAAGAATTATTTTGACCTAATGGATATATACCTCGAACCTTGTACCACAAAGATAAATGCATATTTTCAGTCATGTGAGACACTTAAATGTACCACAAATTAAATCAGAAAAAAAAGGAAGAGAAATATAGATATATATAGAAACACACATACCTGTAATTGTATGTATAAAAAAATATATATACACACATATCACACACATATGTGATATGTGTGTATATATGTATATGTACATATAAAGTCTATGATGTTTGTTGTCCATCAATTAATGTGTTAGAAGTCGTACATTATGAAAAATTTAAAATAGTAGTAATTACAATCATGACAAATCTTTGAGTGTATGTTATCTAATGTGTATATCGCCATGCTAGTTGTTTAATTGTTAAAATTTCATGAAGTCTCTTTCTCATTTTTCCAATTTAATCTTATCATTTGGCCATAACTCTTGAAAAACATCCAAGGAATGTAGTAAAAACTATTTCATTTTATAAGGTGTAATTAGTGTATTTAACTTTCATATAATAATTGATACGTTTGGATATCAGTCGAATTTATTTTCTTTTTTTATTTTTATTAACTTCTTTTCTATTATTTTTTAGTATACCTCTACATTATAATCAACCCTTTTCTTTGAAAGTTGTATACTCATTATTTTACCTAGAAATTTCAGCCTAAATTTACAAGTTAATCACAATGTCATTGTATTTAATACTATGAAACCCCACCTTTTCAATATAAGAACATTACAACACTAATATATTCACCATATCCTACCATTTTGATTGGTGATAGGTATTTTAAAAATTTCAAGACAGGTGTATAGCTCAATGAAAGTTCACAAAGTGAACACATTTCTGTACTCAGTACCTAGATCAATCAAGAGAATATTGTCAGACCCCCAGGAGGCCCTGTGCTCCCACCCAGTCGCTGAGGCTCAGGGTAACCACTGCTCTGACGTGTAACAGCACAGGTCACTTTATCCTTTTTAACCTTTTATAGAAATGAAATCATAGAACATTACCCCTTCTGTATTTGGCTTTTGTCATTCCTTATGTTGGTCGTGAATTTATTGCTGCAGGTTGACATGGATCATTCATTCACATTGCTGTATAAGATTCAACTGTATGAATATAAAACAATTAATGTAATCATTCCACTGTTACTAGGCATGTGGGTGGTTTTCACTTTGAGACTGTTAGGCATAGTGATGATATGTATATTTAGGACACATTTTGATGACACGTATACCGATTTCTATGGGCTACATAAGTAATAGCAGAATTGTTGGGTGACAGGTTTACATCTCTTTAGTTTTAGGAGATAGTGCCAAAGAGGTTTGGAAAATGTTTGTACCAAGTTCCACACCCACCAGCAATCTGGGAGATTCTTGGTTTGTCCACATCCTCGTCAACACTTTTAAACTCTTTTTCATCTTTATTTTAGATTTCTGATTGGTGTGTGGTGGTACAAAACAGTGATTTTAGCCACATTTCCTTGATTATTATGGAAGATGAGCATATTTTCACATATTTATTAGACATTGAGAAACCTCTTTTTGAAGAATGTGTTAATTTATTTTGTCCATTTTTTCTATTGTGTTAATTTTTCTTATTTATTTGTAGCAGTTCTATATATTAGCTGGACATGTTTCTTTTCTTGATTCTCTCTGTTTCTCTCATGGTCTCTCTGTCTCTTTGTCTCTGTCTCTGTGTGGATGTATGTGTATGTGTCTTTAGATGAAAAGAAAGTCTTACTTTAACATATCTTCATATTTCCTCTTCTACAGATAAAGATTATTATTTTGTTTAAGAAATATTTTCCTATTCTAAGACTAGAAAGATGTCTTTTGTCTCACTTTATAAATGTTATATAGCTTTAAAATATAGATCAGCAATGCATCCAGAATAAAATATTGTATGTGTGGATAGCGAATTATATTTTTTTCTGATAAGCTAACCAATGTTAACTCATTCAGAATGTTATTATTTTTCTCATATTTTTCAGATATTATTCTTTATTTTCATTTGTTCTCACCTCTCATTGCTCAACTAGGTTAATATCACCTCTTTCCGGGATCTGTCTTTCCTGCGAAGAGTCCTGGTAAATCTGTGTCTCTTCCTGCCTCCTTCAATCTTTAACGACCCCAGAGCACCACACAACCAAGGTTAGTCTTGGTATCAAAAAACTTCAATGAATTTTTTAACTCATTTGTTCCCAAATTTTTTTAATTTTGAAATTTGGGAAGGTGCACCCTCTCAGGACACAATTTTACATGAACTTTCAAATGTTTTTCACATCTCGTATCAGTTTTTGTTTTGGACTATCTTGCAAGGATTTTTGTATAATAGCCTTGGAAGATGGCAGGAGTGTCTTCGTTGGGGGCAAGGGCACATTAATTACCTGTCCAATATACTAAAGATAATGCCTTCCTCTGAGGGAAATGTTGGGCAGATGTACTTCTAACCCACATTAAAAGATTTGCGTTTCTCAAGCTTAATGTTCTCCAGCTGTGACACACACCTACTCTGTGTGCAGCATCCACGTGGACCTCTTTGTGTGGAACCCGTGGGGCTTGTGGGAGCAACGGGAACAGATGTGAACAGGAAGCTTTTGCTGCCTGTTGTGCCACGAATAAAAATGTCTTTTGTCTCTGTCCCAGGAGTTCCATGTCTTGTGCCATCATCCATGAAAATGGCACGCTAATTTGTTGGATTTCAAGTGGGGTAAAATCTTATATGCTTCTCATTTCTTGGAAGTCTTGACAAGGAGGATGGGATAGTGATTGAGCTCTACAAAGGATAGCCTTTGTGCGTTGTCATAGTATCGGAGGGATGCTAACTTGTTGAGCCGATCTCAGTCTGCTTGGGCTGCTATAACAAAGTCCCACAGGCTGGGCAGTTTATAAACAACAATTTATACTCCCAGTTCTGGAGGCTGGAAGTCTGAGATCAGGCTGCCAGAATGGTCAGGTGAGGGCCCTCTTCTCGGTTGCAGACTTCTTGCTCTATCTTCACAAGGCAGATAGTGACAACGGAGCTCTCACAGACTTCTTTTAAAAGGCCTCAATCTCCTTTATGAGGGCTCAGCCCTCATGACCTAATCAACTCCCAAAGGCCCACCTCCTAGTACCATCACCTTGGGGGTTAGGTTTCAATATATGAGTATTGTGGGAACAAACAGTCCATACCAGGACCTTTTGGAAAATGTCAACTTCCTGTTGTTGTTTCTACATCATGATATAATAGGAATTGTTGTGTTATATGCTTGTGTTTCACCATCCCACGCGTGCAAGAGGGGATTGTCCCAATCACAGTGAGGTGCATATAGAGTAGTTTTAGTGAGACAAACTACCCCATCAGGTGGGTAAGCATTAAGATCAAGTGCCATTAACCTGTGATGTACAAAGTTTTCATGAAATAAGTATGGTCTGTTTGTTGGCAAGTTAGATGCCTCATCTCTGTAGCAGTTTCTAAGGTGTCACCACCTCTGCCAGTAGGGGTGGCTGAAAAAACCTGACCAAATTCAGAGTCCTGTTTTCCAATGAAAGTTTATTGGGCTCCTATGGGCAGATTTACAATCTTCAACCCTTCCAACAGTGAAGGAAAAACTCTTTTCTCTTTGGGTCCTCATCATCTAAAAGGAGGTCCAGATCTTACTACATTCCTAGGGTCTGGGAGATGGCACGAGTCTCTGTGAGTGACGATTTTGTCATTTAGAGTTTCTGGCAAAGGGAGGCAGTGTCTGCCTATAAGCCCTCATTGGTGTATGAACTTGGGGCCACCCTAACACAACTATCAGGTACACTCTTTGGATAGCAGTATTTAGCTTGCTGTTGAGCTCCCCTCAAAAGTGAGGCCTGGTCTTAGAAAACTTGTGACTCTCTGGGTTGATATTTTGATTTAGGGATGAGTCAACTTGGACCCTAGTATTACCAAGGTAGGAAGGGCCCCAAAATGCCTGAGTCTCCTGAAAAGTGTGCAGTCAAGAATGAAGGCAGACTGACA